ACTGGGGGGGTCCGGGGGGGTCTGGGGGGGTCCAGGAGTCTTCTGGCATGCATGTGAAGTGCATATGTTGTGATAACGTCACCCAGAGGTGATGTCATTGCACCAGGCATGTCAGGCTGGATGCTCTAGCATCTGGGCAAAAAAACCCTCTATGGTCACCATACAATTTTTGCCCCAAAGCTAGAGCGTCCCCCATAGAGGTGATGTCATCATGCCGGGTACATCAGGCGGAATAGGGCTCTTTGGGAGCAGGGCTCCCCCTCCAGCCAGCTGGCCAGTGGCAGATTGGGGAGCCTGAAATCAAGGGAACCGCACCCCCATTGGGGGATGGCAACCCTAAATTTGCATGCAGAAAGTCCCAGGTTCAATCCTTGGCATCTACAGTTAGAAAAGGATCAGTTAGTAGGTGATGTGAAGGACCGCTGCCATAGACCTTACTGCCAGTCACAGTAGGCAGTGCTGATCTTGATAGACTAATGTCTGACTCTATATGACTTATTCAAGCCCACAGACAGTGTGGCTTTTTAAATCATTTTGCCTCCTTATAAATGGTACTGCACATTTTCTGTTGGGGATACCAGAGATTGAGCACCTCCAGAGGTCATTTCGGGGGGGAACGCGGGGGAACGCAGTTTCCCTGGGTGAGGTGCAGGGGGCGTGGCACATGATGAAGCCCTGCCCCCTGCTTCCGGCCGCCCTGCTTCCAGCCCTCATTCAGCCAGGAGGAGGCAGGAGAAGAGGGAGGGTAAGTTGCTTCCTCCCTGCCTCTCCCCACCCCTGCCTGCCTGGGGTCAGGGAGGGCCTTGGCGGGGCTTCCTCACACTCCCGCTGGCCTTGCAGGTCCACCAGCGGGCCCCTGATGTCAGGGGGTGTGGCATATGCTAATGAGTTATGCTAATGAGTTCCCCTAGCTCTTTTTCTACGAAATGACCCCTGAGCACCTCCTTCACGTGTCTAAATATTCTCTACCCAGGGATAATATCATAAGCAAAATCACAACTTTAGGATAAAGTCTGAACTTCTGCCACAGTGATCTGTTGGTGATGCTGGCCCACAAAAAATCATTTTAATGTTGATAAGAGTTAATTTTTTTCTAATTACACTCCATTGCAATCAGCAATAAACAGTATGAAACCAATAAAATGCATATTGCCTTTTCGTATTGCCTTTCATTTGTTGTTCACAGTGATACATCCGCTGCATTAAGAGAGGGGTGAGCCTACTTCTGTTAATGGTCTCCAACCAAAAATTGGAAAACGAAATGAAATATAATAACAGGCGCAAAATCTGCAATGTCATTACAAATGGGCAATTTGCACTTGCAATTTGTAAGTAAATTGCTTAGTTCAGTTCAATCAATTGCATCCTAATTATAATGCACACTTTGAATCAAAAAGTTTAAATGTTACTTATGTATTAGCAAAGTTATCCACCAGTTTATGCTTGTTGCCATATCTAGATTTTGTTCGTCATTCATTCCTTGGTGGTTTCCTAACAATATGTTTCTCTTGAATTACATGACTGTGGGACTCTCAAGAAGAGGAGGTAGGATTATCTCTCTATAAACCAGAAGTCCCCAACAAAAGAACATAGAAGCCAATGTTGGATCAGGTCAGTGGTCTATCCAGTCCAACACTCTGTCACACAGTGGCCAAAAATACCAGGTGCCATCAGGAGGTCCAGCAGTGTGGCCAGGACACTAGAAACCCTCCCACTGTTGCCCCCCCAAGCACCAAGAATACAGAGCATCACTTGCCCCAGACTGAGAGCTCCTATCTTTACCTTGTAGCTAATAGCCACTGATGGACCTCTGCTCCATATGTCTATCTAATTCCCTCTTAAAGCCATCCATGCTTGTAGCCACTGCCACCTCCTGTGGCAGTGGGTTCTATGGCACCCACCAACATCTTTCCTGGTGCCCACCAAGTGTTTTCAGAAAGTGGGTGGGGCCAGGTAGGGCTTTTGCCCAGCAAGGCTTCTGATTGGCCACTGGAGATTTGACTGGCTGTGCAGATTTTTAAAAAACATTGTTTTGCCAACAGCTGCCACCACAGCACAAGGATCTTCACTGTCTGACTGAAGATGAAATGTGACTGCTGTCTTATGGTTGGTTCTGCCTCCTGTGGCAGGCAGGTTGTGACAGTCATTTTGTGGCTGCACACACCATGCTATGTCACACTTCCAAAGGTGCCCATCAGCCAGGGCTATAGCCAGTGGCAGGCATTGGGGCGGTGCCCCTCGTGCATTTGCAACACCCTCACCCCACCAAGGGCAGCTCTGCACCCTTGGGCTCAGGCCAGCCATGCCAGGCTCCCGGGGGTGGCAGCTGGGACCAATGCTCCCTCTAAGCTGTGGAGTCTCGTGAGCAAAAATTCTACTTTGTGAGCTGCTGGCATTAAAGTTGTGAGCGAGTGATTTGGCTACTGCATAAATTAGTTTGCTCTGGAGCCATCCTTCCTGAGCGAAGACAACAATGTGTGAGCCAGAGGCTAAAAAACTGTAAGCTAGCTCACACTAACTCAGCTTGGAGGGAACACTGGCTGGGACTCGATGGGGCAGACTGGTGGGGACTGGCATGAGTATGGGAGGGTCTAGCTTTGTCTTCAGAATCATGAGCAGTGCACAGCATTGCTGGGTGGATCTGTCCCCAGGTTTACTCCTGGCACACCATATTTGCTGCCTGCCAGAGAACGAGAATGTTCCCGGCTCCGCACAGCCAGAAAAGCAGCAAGGCAGGGAGAAAGCCACCAGTGGCTTTTTATTCAAATAAAATAAAAGTTAAGGCATTTTAAAAATTAAATTTTAATTTAATTAGCACCCCCAGTGCCCCAGCACCCCCCAAAAAAAACCAAACCTGGCTACGGGCCTACCACCAGCTCAAAAAGGTTGGGGGCCTCTGCTACAACAAACCTACACAGACATTATGTTCACTCACAATGGGACCCTGGCAGCCACAGGTATCAGGAGTGCACAATCCTCATGATGTACTCAATATGTGTGATGCTCTCTGTATTGTGTGAATTGGGCAATGCATGGATTTTCCTATGACTGAGATTAATCCTCCCTCCGTCTAATGAATGGCCCAGGTGTCTCCCAGGTGTCTGCACTCTGCAAGCAAGGGGGCCAATGTATGCATCTGTATATCTCCTTCCTATGAAAAGGGGTACTGTCAGAGAGCTCAGAGCACAGGGATCATGATAGGTTGTCAGCAACATTTCACCTAGAAGAAAGCCCCTCCTCCAAGGGTCTGCTTTCTCTATTAACCCGTATGGCAGTGAATGCCACATTCTAAGGGAAAATCCTTAATTGAGTGAGGAAATCTAAGCAGGTCTACTTGGGACCAAGTCCCCTTTTATTCAAGGGGGTTTGTGCACAGGAAAGTGTTCTTAGGATTGCTGCTTGAATTTGCCATCGTGTTTTTGAATGTCAAAAGCCAACCGTGGAGTCCTGATTTGAACCAAACACTTACAAAGGCAAAACAAATGCTGTTTCAAAGGTTACAGTGTCAAAAGTCTTAATTTATTAGTTACATGCCAACTTGTCCACAAGCCATTAACATATTCACTGAACGTAAAACACTGCACAAAGAAGTACAGAAAAGACCAGTTTGAAATCATTCTACTATAAAGCAAGAAGGTCACAACCCATCGATTCGAATCAAAGAACGGAATCAATTATCTAAAGGAAAAATTATTAGAGGTCGCTTGCTGTCCACCTTCATGCCTCAACAACTATCTCAAACATCCCTAGGAAGATTTATTTTACACAAAGATCAATAATTTGGTCCCAGTCCAGAAACTCTTCTTTCTAATGTAATTTCAGTACCTACATTTCCAATAAGTACATTTCCAATCAAGTAACTGTGACAGACCATATCTTAGCTTAAACAAACGTTTCTGCAAAACCATGTCCTGTGACAATTATTTTAAACACAAAACTCCCTTCCGCTGTGATCTTCAGCATTTTTACTAGAACCACTTTCTACAGAAATCAATGGGACTTCGGTTCCATGTAACTGTGTCTTATGACCAGAATTACACGGGAGAAAATAAATTCATGAATGAGCACAAAGCCTTGGTCCAGGAATGCTCAAGGACAGCAGAAAGCAGCACATCTAACAGAGAGTATATTTGTTTTTTACTGGCAAAACATTGCTTTGAAAGCCACAGTGATGTTGGAATGGGCATTGTCAAGAATAGGAGTGAAGGAACTTAGCTGCTTTGAAGTCACTCTTGAGAACTAGAAATCTAGTGTAAAATCTCATGGTGTTATCTACAGACATTCCTCTTAGGAACCTCTGGATTTACTAGGCTAATGGTATGACTGTAAAACTGGCCATTGCTGTGTTACAGTTTAGGATTTTAACAATAAATTTGAAATGTGAGAGAGAAAAAGATGTACGGAAATATAGGCTTGTATCCTGTATAGATTTTTGCATGTGCAAGGGGGCGTGATTTTCACCAGTCCCCTCAAGCTGTTCTCCAGGAGTAGCATTGTAGAGGGTGGGGGCTTGGACTACCATGGTAGGAGGGATTCAGCAAGACTACCCCCACCTTATGCCTGTAGAAATCTGGGATCTAACCCATCAGGTGTGGCATAAACCAAAGTAAATTTCATTATGATCTAAAACAGAAAGTGGAAAATCTGTTCACTGAAGTAATAAAACTTGTATCAGACTCTGACAAATATCGGGTAACTTCAGAATTTCCATTCATAATTTTAATTAATCAATTAATTTTATTCAGGGTACAGCAGAAACCCAGAAAATATAGAATCAGTAGTTTCATCAGCCATTAGGCCATTCTGAGAGCCGTTCAAAATCTGAAGCCAAATTTCATCATCTTCAGAGAGTTGAACCAGCGTTGATCCAGAAACCTGAGTAACACCCTGTGGAGTTTCCCTTACACTGGACACCTGTAGAATTCTTTGGCCATTATGGAAAAGTGCAGCCCTCAGTGATCTGCTGGAAACACTCAGGTGGTAACTGAAAGAATAGATACCTCCTGTGCTTGCGGTAAATATGCCCGTTTCAACATGATAGGCTTCATTTTCATTCAGGAAAATCTTCTCAAATCTCACTGGGGATCCTGGCAAGGGAAAGCTTCTCCTTTTCTGAAGACCAACCGAGAATGCTACGGATTCCACTGGGTTGCAGTCTCCCTTCTGTCCTTTTTCTCCTTTTCGGCCAGGAAGTCCAATCAGTCCTTGCTCTCCAGGAACACCCTCCATTCCCTGTACCCCTGGATCTCCTTTCATGCCTGGAGGCCCTTGAATCCCTGGTGTCCCATCCAAACCTTGTGCTCCTTTCTCACCTGCCTGGCCTGTTTCTCCTTTCTCTCCAGGAACTCCATTTACTCCAGGGTCACCTTTTGGACCTGGTGCTCCATAATCCCCTTTGTCTCCCTTCACTCCCTGAAGACCAATAGGACCGGGGCTCCCAACCTCACCTTGATCACCTTTGTCACCCTTTACGTAAGAAGAATTTGGTCCACCAAGTTCTTGTACCAAAGTACGGAATGCTGGTTCGCCTAAATCAGTCATGGCTCTGGACTCCCCCCTTTGTCCAGTTAACTCTCGCCTAGTATCTACCAAAGATCGCAGTTCTCCTGTATTTATAGCAAGCCTTAGTTGATCTAGAAGAGAAAAGAAACACATTGTCTTACATTACAATGGAAATGGAATTAAATATCCATGTCAAACAAAACAGTAAAATAAAGTTAAGCCCATGTATTAACAATGCTGTTAATTCTCCTTTCATCTCTGGTGCAGGAATAAGGTATCGTGTACAATGAAGGATATAGCATCTAGCTTCGATATGGGCGTGTAAGAGATCCTGGGTGGGATCTACACATTATAGGATCTTGCACTATTACAACCATTCACCTCTTGGAATTTTTGACAGGAAAAGCCAGATGCTGAATTCTTACAATAGTATAGTATCCAACAATGTGTGGATCCAGCTCTCAATACAAAAACATCTTCTGAGCTGGCACATGAGTATTAAACAATAAGATCAGAAATCCATGCAAAAGAAAGGATGTAGTGCAAAGCTCTTAATCCTGGCATCATTCCTTTCCCAATGTGAGCTGTTTCACCAGTAGCAACTTTGTATAGATGGGTGAGGTTTTAAAGGACTGCTTTACATCCTTCAGATTGCTAGTAACAAGATCTAAGGGGCTAGGGCTCAGTGGCAGAACATCTCCTTTATATGCAAAAGGTCCCAGATCAGTTGCTGGCATCTACAGTTCAAAAGGTCAAGTTGTAGGTAATGTGAAAGACCTCTACCTGAGACCCTGGAGAGCAGCTGCCAGTCAGAGTAATCTAGGGGTCCCGAATCTTTTTGAACTTGTGGGCACCTTTTGAATTTTGAGAGTGGGTGGTAAGCACCACCACCAGCGTTCCTTCTAAGCTGAGTTAGTGTGAACTAGCTCACCGTTTTTTAGCCTCTAACTCACACATTTTTGTCTTAGCTCAGGGACGATGGCTCCAGAGCGAACTTATTTATGCAGTAGCCAAATTGCTCGCTCACTAATGCCAGTAGCTTACAAAGTAGAATTTTTGCTCACAAGACTTCACAGCTTAGAGGGAGCATTGACCACCACACAAAGGCTTCCACGGGAGGTGGAGCTAAACCCAGAATGGCTGCCTCAGGAGGCAGAGCCCAACTGAATACCTCCCTCCTTAAAAAGAGTCACAGAAGGGTTGTAAAAAGAAATGAAGAAAGTCCTGAGTGGGGGAAGGAAAAAGAAAAGGGTAAATAAAAAGAAATAAAGCCTGAAGGGGAAATGGAACCAAGCACTGACTATTGAAAGTGCAGGTGCTTACCAGCCCTCCTGATTCTATAGCAGCTGTGGTGGCTGTTTTAATGAAAAACCCTTTCATTTGAATAAGGGTAGCCAATAACAAGCCCTGCCTTACAATGGCCCTGTACGATTTCTAAAAAGCTTGGCAAGCACCGGCTCATGCAGAAGGGACCATCCATTCCTTTCCCACCTGCAGTCTCTTGCATGCTTGAATGGACTGCACTTTTAAAAGCTTAGAATCTGGTTCAGAAAGCTATGGGACCAATATGTCCTCGAAAGTATAACTGATAAAATGGGTACTTACATGAAAAATAACTCAATTAAAACGTTCAGTGCAAAGTGGTTTCCAATTCTGTCTTATCTATCGGAGGAAGAATACATACCTCCATCTTGGAAAGATTACTTGAAATGGTTCTGAAAACCTATATCACAAAACATTGCTCAGTCGCAAATGGTTTTCATGTAACAAGGTCGTTTAAAACTTTTCAAGTAGAACAGCAACAAAGAATCTCTACATAATCACTTGTAACAGTTGCTCTTGATTGTATAGTATTCTAAAGCTATATACTTGTATTAATGTCTTTAAATGTACAATGTTTCAATTATTCTCTACCATGCTTATTGCAAATTTACTTAAAAAAGCAGGTACTTGCGAAGTATCTATTCTGAAATGTTCTGAAATGTATTTTACAGGAATTGTTGTTTATGTTAATATTCTGAATATACAATAAAAAATTTAAATTAAAAAAAAAAAAAAGAAGTGCTGTACAAACTGGTAAAGGACTGTGAAGGGTTAGTTCTTCACAGAGCCAAGGAGCCTTGAGTGACAGGCTGTTCCAGGAGATCTGATTGGTTAGCATCAGCTGCACAGAGAGAGACTTTAGAGCTGAATGCTAAGGAGGAGAATTCATTTGGAAGTCAGCCTGGACTGAAAGCAGTTTAACACAGAGAGGAGAACTGGGGAAAGTTGGCAAGGATGAGTGGGTAGTTAGACAGAGACTCCCATTTGGGCCAAATAAAGGGGATAGATCTTCTAGTGAAGGAGAATTTCCCTACCCAGTCAAACAGGGAGTTAGCTCTGAAGAGTGCAGAGATTCCTGGTCTGGTGTGGTTAGAAACTGTTTTTAGAAACCTTATGAGTCAGTTTAAAAAGATGAGTACTGGAGTTTCAAGAGAAGGGGTCTGAGTACTGGAAAGAGTGTGCCAGACTTCTGGAAACCAAAAGAGTCAGAGAATACTCAAAAAAGTGTACTGCAGTGTTTGGTGAAACACTGGAACAAAAGCTTCTCAACATAAAGATTTAAGTTATTTTGTTATTTTTGACTTTCAAAATGCCTCAAGTGCCATTTAAGTTGTTTAAGTTAAAGTGGGCTTTTGATCCTTCCCTCAGGTTCCTGGGTTAAACCCACAGCCAAAATATCATACTAAGACAGGGTGGGACAGCCAGAGTTCTTCAGCAAAGAAGGAAACACATTACTAGGGCAGCTCAATCAGTAAAGGGAAAGAAAAACAGAGGGAAAATCATGCCTGAGGGAGGGAAGTGGACAGGGCTGCCATACATGTCAAACTGATGGAATTCTCTGCCGAATAACATCTGGGCCCTGTGGGAGATCATTCAATTCCACAGGGCCTGCAAGGTAGAGATTTTCCACCAGGCATTTGGCTGAGGGCAGTGACGGTCTAGCACTCTTGTCTTCCTGCCTCCCCCCCTCCCCATGAGGCAGTGGCTTCACTGGTCATCTTGTTAGGTCTTATTGTGTTTAGTGGATTTACTGTTTTATTGCTAATTTATGTATGTATATTTGGTATTACAGTACACCACCCTGAGCCCTGTTTTTCAGGGGAGGATGGTCTAAAAATCAAACCTAATCAATAAAGAAACAAATCCCTTTTCTACAAACTGGCTTCAGATGGTCATAGAAGCCACCAAAACAGCTTTCACAAGGAAAGTGTGGAAAAGGAAAGGGAGAACAATCAACTGGACTCACAGACATGTGAGTGGTGGAGCAGGATTCATGCAACAGGATCTTTGGATCCAGATCCTTGACTGCAAGCTCCTCAGGGGAGGCGTTTGCATTTGCTTGTTTGGTTTGCTTTCTGACTACCAGTAAAGCACCATGGACAGTGATGAAAACTATGTGGGGGGAAATTAAGATAATAAGAAATAACTACAGTACTGCTAGATTCCCAAACAATCACCATCTTGCCAAAAAACAAAAATCACCTAACATTTTCGGATGTTTTCAGAACATTTTCAGCCTACTGAGAATCATTAAATATTGGTTTTATTACAACAGGTGTATGACTCTAACACCTAAAAGGAGCAAAATATATAATTTCAGATCTTATTATTAGAAGTATGCATGAAAAGGCAGTAAGGGCACCACGAGAGCCATCATCATACTTTGGGTCAATGACAACAGCCATAGGAGTCCCATAGTTCATATTTAAAGTATCATTAAAATGTACTTATTTACACGATGCTCTGGTGTGATTCCAAATGAACCATTATAGCTCAGCATGGTGAATTATATACCCCTCAAGAAAGCACTGAACTTTAAAAAAAATTGCTACACAGGAGGTGTTTAACACATTCATGTTCAAACTAAGTACTGCTGAAGCCTGTGAAGCCAATCTGTAAAAATCAGGATATAAGACATGGTTCTAGGTGGGTTTTTTCCCCTTCTTCCCTTCATTTGAACCTTTCTCATACTACTTCATGTTACCTGTGTCTGTGTGGAAAAGAAAGAAGGTGATTGAAATGTGTGATGCCAATGAGCATTCTGGCTAAAGTAAGTCTTACATTTGCATCAAGATTCAATTATAGTTGGTTCTAGGAGTTCTGTGAAGGAAGCTCCCAACATTTGTTTTCCCCTGTAAAAGTCAGGTGTATGGGGGTCCACTTTGGTCAGGACTTTGACATGAAGGGAGGGGAAATTAAACCTCCCCACTGTAATATATTCCAAACCCAAAATGGTCCCACAGAGCCACTGTTTGCCCTTTGAGATTAATATACAGGTAACGCAGCTGAAGTTTAAGCCTCACATGTACAAAGACCTCTACAGCCCAGTCCTGTGAGCAACCACAACTGCTAATAAGTATGTCTAAACTGGCATGTGGATTGTTTCACCACTTGCCACTTATGGTGTCAGGGTATGACTTTGCACCAACATAGCTGCTTCAAGCTGTGTTACTATGACAGCAATGGTACAATGTTTGATCCAAAATGGCAGCTGCACAAAACTGGGCAGGCAGGAAGTGGGGTTGGGGGTGAGACAAAAAATGATTGCCGTCTTTTTGACCGTTGTGGACCTGATTACATTAGAATGCCATATACCTATATCAATACTGGCAAGCATTTACAAGTGGAGTAGATTTGACAAGTACCAGAGATATGATATTGAGGGGCATGAGCAAACACACAAATAAATTTCCTTTGGAAAGACTGTGGTTGACTTTTGACCACAGCTGAGGTCTGGCTTACTAACTTCACTGCCATATTGGGAGGATCAGTATGGAATTTCCCCAGGATCAAATATTTCCAGCTATCATTTCTAGGCAACCTCAAACTGTGGGTCTTCCGAGCTGGAGACCCAAGCAGCTTTACTAGCTCTTTGCTTTGCTCCTCCCCTTCCTATTATGTTTTTGCATTTTTTGTCCCTATATAAACATCCCCTTCTTTTAACAGCCTTTTAAGACAAACTAGATATTACGCCAAATGCCACCCAAAATTTTGCC